GTAACGTGCATAAATATGAATATATGTCGGGGGGAGGGGGATGGCTATAGATCGCATGCTCTATTTTCTGAATAGGATTCGAAGTAGATGTCGAGAACTTGTCACTCGGTGATTTATACGTTTGTCTGCGCCTGAGGACGAGGTCGTTCTCCATTCCCCCACCGCCCCTGCGTCTCTTAAGCCTGTCAGGCCCGACCAACACGTAGAAAAGGTCTCTTTCACGGAGCCAGATACAAGGGAGAAGGACAAAAAGGCTAGTGTCCTAGGAGAGACGCTCGGAGACGCCTCCGAGGATAGAGAGACCAGCCAAGGTCGCCGAGACCGGAAACGTTCCGTCGCTTTTCGCCGAATCAATGTCGCATGGGGACAATCTCGGAGTATTAAACCGCGTCTTCGATCCTGCCACCATGATGTAATCAACCTCCTTTTGCCTTAGCTTCGATTCGAAACAAACGACGCAAAGGCACCGTGTCCCGACAACGCTGCCACCACGAAAACCCGCCTGGTCTTCTATGTTTTCTGTCGCTCAGAAATTGAAGAGGCGAAGACAATTGTTTAATATTTCCTCGTTTTATTTCCATTTTTATTTATTTTTTTCACTGTTTCGTTAAATAAGTAAAATATTTCATTAAATATAGATTCTCTTGGAACTATATCCTAATACTTTTTTACCATAAAAGATATATACTTTTATCAAAAAGATATGCAATTCTATTTCTTCTGAATCGTGCTATAGGATAACAGAGCTTGTTAAATTGTGTAGATTTCTTTCCCTAGAACTTTTTTCTAAATTTCCCTGGAAGAAGCTATAGTCACAGCCCTTCTGTATCATTATACACAAAAGCATTGCACGTCTTGTCAATCGCTATTGCAAAGTTTTGTCTCGGTTTATAACAAAGCATTCCTTACCCGTATATATACACGAATAAATTAAATTATATTAAATTATACTGAATTATATTAAAATAAATAATGGAAGCATATTCACGGGCAGTTAGTGTCGCCCGAGACGTGCATGATCTTGCCGACGCCAACGGAATGCCGTTCGATCGCCTACCAGAACAGAGAGGAGAATCGAAAATCGTAAATGTCCGCGGTTTGCCAAGTCACCGAGTCGGGATCAAAATAAATGTCACGTTGTAAATAGTTACTTTTCGGTACGAGACGTAAAAGGGTCGCGAGGCAAATAATTATAACTCGCCGGTGGAACCAAGCGGACCGGCACGGTTGACCCTTCCATGGCAACACGACGGGCCGGCGAAATTGTTCCGATATCTCTGACCGAGGCACACCGGGCACTTCATTTTGCCAAATATACAGGGTGGTCAGCAACTGGTGGTGCAACCGGAAGAGGCAACATTCCGAATGCGAAGATAATTCGGAAAAAAAAGAATAACATTTTTACGTTTCTCACGACTACGATTCTATCCTTTTATAGCCTCTTGAATATGCCCACGTTCAAACAAAGGGGATCCATCGAGAATGTTTGATTTATTTTTACAGTCCCCGACCATATAATTCACTATTCTCGAGTCGTTAAGTCGAGTTCTCGACTCTTACGACACCGAACTTCTTTGCGTTAGTTATAATTAAACGGTGGTTTTTAAAATGTATAAGTGAAACACAGAATAGTAAGAAAAAAATTGAAGGGAGCTGAAAATGTTGATATATTAATTGCAATTTATTAAAATTGTTTAGGCCGTCTTGCAATTGCTGCAGACAAATTTGATTTTGCATAAAGTTCTACTTACAATAGAACGTCACTGGGTTCTCAAAGCTGCATCGCAAGAGCGACTAGAACGGCGAACGAGTTCAGCAAAAAACTTGGCTTCTTCAGAAGCAGCCTGAGGCATGTTATTAATTCCAATCACAGTTGGGCAAAAAGTAATCCGCTTAATACCTAATGATTTTAACTAATTCTAATTAATTCAAAATGATTCGTAATAACTAGCGAGTTATAATCGTTAATCATTAATCAGACTACTTTTTGCCCAATTATTATAAATTAGCTGTAACATCAAACGAGTTCAATCATCGATCGGATTACTTTTTGCCTAATTCTTATAAACTTGTTGCAACAACTAACGAGTTACAAACGTCGATCCATCAATCAGATCACTTTTTTCCCTAATTCTTATAAATTTGTGGTAATAACTACCGAGTTATAAACGTCAATCATCGATCAGACTACTTTTTGTCCAATTATTATAAATTAGTTCTAATCGATCAGATAACTATTCACCTAATTCTTATAAATTTGTTCTAATAACTAACGAGCTATAAACGTTACTCATTAATCAGACTACTTTTTGCCCAACTAATTCCACTGCATCTGTTATTAAATCTCGTACTCTGCAATGTTTATGTAACCCCCGCTTACGCGTGTTTCATCTGTATGATTAAAAAGGGTCCGACAGCCCGTAAATAAATAATAATAATAATAAAAAATGCAGTGATTTGCACCGGGGAGACTGTTCCAACAAACGCTGTACCCCGACCACGGCAGCACACGCTCGAATAGCCGTGTCTGTTCGAACGAGACGCGACTTCAAAAGCGAAAGGAAGTCCGTCGAGAACCTGTACAAGAGGGTTGCTCGGTGGTTGGACCGCTCGTTAGCATCAGCTGCTCGCTGCTTAAAAATAACCTCTTCCTAGCGACAAGGCACAATCGGTAAATTAACGCCGGCAGCGGCGCCCTTCGCGATGGAACACCGTCGTCCACGGACACTGAATGCCGAGCGTGGAACTGTTAACCTGTTAACCGAGGCTCGCGGTGAAACGCGAGAAACCTGCGAATTAATCGAGGTGGTGGAGGGGACACTAATTGCTAAACGACCAAAAAGACGAGTCGGCGAAAAATCTCTCGCGATCCCAAGCTGCTAAGGGGACTTCGAACAAGAATTCCCAGCCGTGAAACGAAAGCGCGTCGCAGCAGCGCGGCTAGGCATTAGCATATAGGCTACGTCCGTCCATCGTCTCCGAAGTGAAATCGCAACGTCGGCCGTGCGAGTACGTCTCGTCGACGTACAAAAAAATCTCCGGCTAATTTCTTTCTAATTTCTTAGCCGGCGAGAAGGAAATCGTCGCGGAAGAGAAGAAGAAGAAGTAGCAACGTCTGCGACGGACGCGCGTCGGGTCCCCGGCCGATCAATCCGTTTAAAAGGCTTCGATGCGTCTTTTCCGAGGCGTTGTGCTCGACGTTTAAAGAATATTCAACGGATTGTTGTTACGTAAGGTTGCCGAGCACAGCACCGCGGGCCGGCCCAATCAGTTAATGCACGGGTTTCGCCGGGCCACTCGAGCGGGTAACCGTCGTGCGATAGTAATCGACGAGCCTTACGATGCGCGTTTATGTAGGACGGCTGCGGGCTGCGCGCGAGAGCCGGCCCCGACTGCTTTCACAATTTACGCGCGAGCCCGTTATTTATCAATTCCCGGGCCAAAATATACGCGCGAATAGGCGGCGAAACTAGGCCAGGCTTCCGATAATCCGGCAAAATCATCCCATACCGGATCCAAGAACAACAGAGGCAAGTTTACGAGCCGGGACTCTCTCGCCGCCGATTCTAATTCGAGAGCCGAGCCACCGGTTTTCCACTTAGGTCGCTCCGCGGTTATGGCAAAATTCTTTCCGCGAGCAACAGGGTTTCCTCCTCCTCCACCGTCGAGACAACGAAGTACAAACGTCCTAGCGCGAATCAGCTGTGATTTCCTCGAAATAGGTTTGTGCATTGATTTATAGGATGTTTAACGAGACTACGGCTATGCCGTCGCTCGATCCAAACAGCTAAATGTCATCAAAAATCTTCGATCCCTCGAAGCGATCCTCGAGCCAAGAATCTTCAAAGGAGCTTTGTTTGTGTCCGCCGCGGAGAGATACTAACAACACCTCTGGCAAAAAGAATTCGAACGCCTTTTAAAACGCAATGATTTGTTTAGGACTGTACTAAACGACTCGAATGTTTTTTTTTTTAACGACGAAGGGACTGGTTATTGTACAATGACTGAGATACTTTCTTTTTTCGTTTGGCTAAATTTTTATTTATTGTCTGAATCTGCGACGAAAATATAAAAAATACGCTTTGTTGATCTCGGTAATTTATATTATTATTATTATATTATAATTATATTGTTTATATTATTATTATTAATACTGAAAACTTCATCGAGAGATCGGTGAACCATGTTATTACTAGACTGTAGATCTTTAAGAAAAATAAAATTTGTCTATGTTAATTGCAAGAAACGTAAGTTAGTTGAAAGTGTCCTTTCTGTTTGAGTAATTGTAATAAGTTGATAATGTATTAATATTCCTAAATTATGACGATTTCGTTACAGGATTGTAATTGATTTATTCATTTTTGTCAGAAATGCGTAAAAACCGAATTAAACGAAACTTTCGTCCGTGAAGTAAATGATTGTTACTTGTAAAAAGATAATAAAATGCTACAAGTCCTACTTAATTAATACGTCTCGTTTCATTTTAAAAAGTTTCACTTGCCATAAATGCATGAAGATCTGCGATCTAGTTGTTAGTTACGAGTAATTAAGGATCGTGAAAACAATAGCTTTTTTTACATATTCCAAGCAAAAACGGGTAATTTTTACGTCATCTGAGAGATTTTTATTTTATTGTCCTACCAAACAACAGTTAAATGAAAACAGGAGTATTTTAGTCATTATATACAGTAAACTAGTTCCCCTAAAAAAAGAAAAACCACTCAAGTCAATTACTTCAGTCTTAAAAAGATTATCACGTTTTAAAAGGTGTTTGAATGTATCTCGCGAGGTGTAGTACAGCGGGAACGACTACGTACTCAACGAAATTAGCTTTGGACGGATTATGTCGCCACGCGGATCGTAGAGCCCTCCGGGTAATCCCACGCGCAAAAGTCAGCGTATCGCGCGAGGTCGGGGGTCACCGTAAAAAGACGGTGCCGTTTCGACGGAACCGACGAGAACGTCGGGGATGCGGTTAACAATAAGGTCGAGAGACTCACCTGAACATCAAAGTGAGTGGTGGTGTCTTGCGGTTGCGGAGGTCCCTGTTGCTGCTGTTGTTGCTGGGACGGTGGCGGGCCCTGCGGGGGTGGCGGAGCCTGTGCGCCAAAGAGCTGAGCCGCGTGGGAATGCGGATGCTGGAGATGATGCGTCGGCGGCGCCTGGTGGTGTTGGAGATGATGCGGAGGTGCCGGGGCGAAAGCGGCCATGAAATGCTCCTCGCTGCCCACCACATCCACCCCCGGCTTCAGCAACACCACGCCGCCAGCCCCCGTGCTCACCGCGAGGGTGGCGGCCGCGTTCTTCTGGAATTCCTCCTCGCCAGGCGATGGCTGGCGGCTGCCGGGCGTGCGACTGTCGACAACAGAAACGTACAAATTAGTCTGCCATCCTCCCTCGACGCGATCCGTTTCCCGCGACCCTTGTCTTCCGATCTCTCTAACTGTTCTCCTTGTCCGACGACACTTTGTCCAAACGTTACGCTGTCAACCCTCCTACAACACGGCCGATTCAGTGCTGTATCGGTACAGTCTCGAAGGAAACGTAGAAACAATGCAAATTAGGACTGTATCACATAGGTGAATTAACTCTCGAACAACGCGGACTATTTTTAGAATTATACGAATTATTATAATTGTCGATGTTTATGACCATCTTCAGCTTTATTTATCAATGTTTTAATATGTATTTTTGAAGATATTTCTCGCGCGTAGATATTTCTTTCTAATTTAATATCAATTGGGTCAATTTGATAGTCGAAAATTGTGTAATTCGGTGAATATTTATATACGCTGGGTCAAAATGTTCTGGTAACCGCAGTTTAAGAGTTAACTGTGTTAGAATACGATGTTATAAGAGTGTTTTTGGAATGTCGTGTTATAAAAAGGTCGACTGTTGCATGCGCAAGGTTTGGACAAAGGTACGGAGCAAGGTAATTAATCCACGCGAGAAGCCAACATTTCTGTTTTGCCCTCGATTAATGTTTTGCTCTCTTCGAACGGTTCTTTGGGGATGTGGCAACGCTACTGTCAGTTATAGCAAACGATTCTACCATTCAATGAATAAAGCTCTCGAATGGATGGTACAAGAAAATCTCGTCTCTAAAAAACAGAGTCTACCGTCTCGAACAGAGTGATTTCTATAAGAACAAAATGATGTTCACCGTACTCAAGTTGTACCGTATCCGTATGAGCCGTTTATTTTGAAAGTGGCATAAGTCACTTCTTGTTTTTAAGTCGATAATATCGACTTAAATATATTCTATTCAAGGGTTTGCGCTTTAACACGTTTAATAATATGGATGCTAACTTTCGAGAAGATTTACTTGTATTTGTTATCTCAGAATACCGATATTTTTCAGATGTGTATAAGAGACAGCGATAATATCGACTGGATGCTAACTTTCGAGAAGATTTACTTGTATTTGTTATCTCAGAATACCGATATTTTTCAGATGTGTATAAGAGACAGCGATAATATCGACTGGATGCTAACTTTCGAGAAGATTTACTTGTATTTGTTATCTCAGAATACCGATATTTTTCAGATGTGTATAAGAGACAGCGATAATATCGACTGGATGCTAACTTTCGAGAAGATTTACTTGTATTTGTTATCTCAGAATACCGATATTTTTCAGATGTGTATAAGAGACAGCGATAATATCGACTGGATGCTAACTTTCGAGAAGATTTACTTGTATTTGTTATCTCAGAATACCGATATTTTTCAGATGTGTATAAGAGACAGCGATAATATCGACTGGATGCTAACTTTCGAGAAGATTTACTTGTATTTGTTATCTCAGAATACCGATATTTTTCAGATGTGTATAAGAGACAGCGATAATATCGACTGGATGCTAACTTTCGAGAAGATTTACTTGTATTTGTTATCTCAGAATACCGATATTTTTCAGATGTGTATAAGAGACAGCGATAATATCGACTGGATGCTAACTTTCGAGAAGATTTACTTGTATTTGTTATCTCAGAATACCGATATTTTTCAGATGTGTATAAGAGACAGCGATAATATCGACTGGATGCTAACTTTCGAGAAGATTTACTTGTATTTGTTATCTCAGAATACCGATATTTTTCAGATGTGTATAAGAGACAGCGATAATATCGACTGGATGCTAACTTTCGAGAAGATTTACTTGTATTTGTTATCTCAGAATACCGATATTTTTCAGATGTGTATAAGAGACAGCGATAATATCGACTGGATGCTAACTTTCGAGAAGATTTACTTGTATTTGTTATCTCAGAATACCGATATTTTTCAGATGTGTATAAGAGACAGCGATAATATCGACTGGATGCTAACTTTCGAGAAGATTTACTTGTATTTGTTATCTCAGAATACCGATATTTTTCAGATGTGTATAAGAGACAGCGATAATATCGACTGGATGCTAACTTTCGAGAAGATTTACTTGTATTTGTTATCTCAGAATACCGATATTTTTCAGATGTGTATAAGAGACAGCGATAATATCGACTGGATGCTAACTTTCGAGAAGATTTACTTGTATTTGTTATCTCAGAATACCGATATTTTTCAGATGTGTATAAGAGACAGCGATAATATCGACTGGATGCTAACTTTCGAGAAGATTTACTTGTATTTGTTATCTCAGAATACCGATATTTTTCAGATGTGTATAAGAGACAGCGATAATATCGACTGGATGCTAACTTTCGAGAAGATTTACTTGTATTTGTTATCTCAGAATACCGATATTTTTCAGATGTGTATAAGAGACAGCGATAATATCGACTGGATGCTAACTTTCGAGAAGATTTACTTGTATTTGTTATCTCAGAATACCGATATTTTTCAGATGTGTATAAGAGACAGCGATAATATCGACTGGATGCTAACTTTCGAGAAGATTTACTTGTATTTGTTATCTCAGAATACCGATATTTTTCAGATGTGTATAAGAGACAGCGATAATATCGACTGGATGCTAACTTTCGAGAAGATTTACTTGTATTTGTTATCTCAGAATACCGATATTTTTCAGATGTGTATAAGAGACAGCGATAATATCGACTGGATGCTAACTTTCGAGAAGATTTACTTGTATTTGTTATCTCAGAATACCGATATTTTTCAGATGTGTATAAGAGACAGCGATAATATCGACTGGATGCTAACTTTCGAGAAGATTTACTTGTATTTGTTATCTCAGAATACCGATATTTTTCAGATGTGTATAAGAGACAGCGATAATATCGACTGGATGCTAACTTTCGAGAAGATTTACTTGTATTTGTTATCTCAGAATACCGATATTTTTCAGATGTGTATAAGAGACAGCAAAGTGACTTATGCCACTTTCAAAATAAACGGCTAATATACAAGTTTCACTTGCCCCACGCAAAAGTTTATCTACCATGAAAATTAAATGTCGATAACAGGAAAGCATTATTCGCCTCGGAGCTTTGTCCGGCATCTTGCAGAGTATGACAAGAGATTGCAAGGCACGGGCGAGCCATTATTTCTCGGGAACGACGAGAGAAAGGTGGAGGTGGACGGTGTATCGTATTGAATGAATTATCCGGTGGAAGTGACTGCACCCGTGATCGAGCTCCGATTCGCGAGCCATAAGGAAACAACCGTGTATTGCATTGCGCAACAACTCCCCGCAGAACAGCTAGAGTTCATTCGATAGGTTCACGCTCCAGTTCGTGGATTTTGCCGATTCGTTTTGATCGAAGACAGCCCTGCGACGAGCACATAATGCTCTGAAAATAAACTGACCAGGCGCCGTCGACAGCTGCACTTTTTGGAAAGGTGGACGCGTAAATCTTGGATGACTTAACGCGCATCGTTGCGCGCCGAAAAGGAAGCCTTTGCGAGCTGATGTTTATGGAGCGATAAACGCGCGCCGAGGTGTCTCTCTCTTTGGCGAGAGCTAGGCTCGCCGAAGATTCTCTCCATCGAACAGCACAAGTTCGAGTTTCTCGTTGAGCGGTCATTCATAATTGAATGGTCTCGTATTTGTCTCTCGCAGATCGAATGCGAAGACGATGCACTGAATAATGAATGCAGCGAAGCTGGTCGCGCTGGGATCCGTGTCTACCGCGATCAGTCGCGCATCGTAACGGCGTGGTTTGCATAATGATGGCATAACGAGATACAACGTCTTCGGTCTGGCGACCTCTGCGAGACTCTGGTCTAGCGAGAAAAAGGGTACCGGGACCGTGACGACCGACTGCGACGAGCAAACATCATTACCATAACGGAATCGGCAAGCAGACGAGACAAGTGCCGCGCGTCGCCGTAACGTCCTAGTGCCCTTCCCGGATTTATTTGCAGTGATTATTCACCGGATTATCGTTAACACGGGGAAACGGAAAGTCTGTGCCGCCTAAGGCCGTCTACCTAGCGTCCCCCTTTTTATTATGCGTGTATCCGTGGGTAAACGCTCCTAGCGTGAGAATGGTCGAAAAAGCGTGGGCAACGTTCAGTAAAGACAGGTGTTTGCTCTTCGCTTATCGTTGTTCCGAAATTAGAGGACGCTATTGTACACGGATAGGGGTACCACTAGCTACCAGAAGTGCATTAACCTTTACAGGGCCGGAAAGCCAATACATTGGCTCGAGTCGTGACAGCAAGTTTGTGAAAGAAATACCTTACATATGCGTACAATAACTTTTAGAATAGAACTACCGACTTATACGAGTAAATTTCCGACCCTTTACAAGCTACCAAGACGTTTCGCTTTGTCTATTGTCATTGTGAACGCGCTGAACAGAAGAGACTCCTTGTATATTACATTGTTTTATGTAAAGTACACGATTGTGTGTAAGAGGTGCTCGATAATTTTCTTCTTCGTCGGCAGAAGATGGAAAATGGATTGTACTTTTGTGTTTGATTTTGAGAAGATTGTCGGTAGGTAAGCCATCACCAACGACCGCTCGTTAGAGCCACTAGACTGCAGGAAAGGGATATAGCGTCGGTAACATCGGCCGAGAGGTAAGGCGCTGTCGATGCACCAGGTGGCGCACCCTGATGGTGCAGCGGGTTGCAGAGAAAGAGGTGAGCGGGTATGATGTCATCGTCCGCAGATAGGGCATGTACGCCCTTGAATAGTTGCCGCTGTTATGTTCTTCTGGGCTACGACGATCTCTCGACCATCGGCTAATTGAAAATCGTTTCCTAGATTCGGGACTGTTTTAACGCATTCACTGCCAGCACCGGTCGCATCTAAGCGAAGCATTTCTTTCGGGGGTGTTTCCTGGTGATTCGGCAGTAAACGCGTTAACTCGACGACTTCGAAATCGGGTCTTCGACGATCTAGCATTCTAGAGGTCATCCTTATGGCTACACGATCGTCCCGGATTAGTCTGGCCGGTCCGCAGTTCCAAATCGACTTCCGATACTCACTTAAATCCTTTGTCATCGTCGAGACCGTTTTGCGAGGCCAGTCCGTTATTCTGTGGGCCAGTGTCGTCCTTAGAACTGTCGAAAGGGCTTGCCGAGCCCTTCTCTTTTTCTTTCTTGTCTGCGTCTGTGTTCTGCGAACGAAAGGAAACAGCCTGCTTTTGAATACCGTCGACGAATCGCGAATGATACTTGCATAACCCCGGGTACATTAATCGCGCTTACCAATCTCAGTGAAACCATCCGGGGTTCCAGATCTTTCGGTGTCGTGGGGCTCGATCCAAGAACGTACTCCACCATCTTAACACCCAGACCACCCGTCTCGCTGCAAACAACAAACGTATCGTTGTGAGAATCCAGAAGACGATCGACATGGTTTCGTTCAATTTCGTTGGAAAAACTACGAACCTGCTTCTAGGGCTGAGGACCGTTCCAACTTCTGACGTCTGATGATGATATCCTGTTCCAACACCCACGCGCCTACCAGTACCCATGGAAATCGGCTGTGACACGGCATGATCTGAAATGCATTAAAACTGTCGTTAATCATCGCGTCACCTTGCCGCACACGCTGCACCCCAAAAACCGCCCCCGTGGAGCATCGGGCTGCCACTCGACGCCCGAAATTCCGGTCTACAATTTCAACCCCCCCGATCACTCTCGAGCATCAAAGGCGCTAAAGGCTCCGCAAACTTGGTGCGAGGGACGAACCGCCGACAATCGCGGGAATCCTGTGTCTTATCCTCCCAAGATACCCTTAACCGTTCTTATACCGCATCTTATAGCTAATCAAACAACATCGTTAGACGCTTCTGGCGGGTAAAAACGACGCGGAATCGACGCAACGATTTTCCCAAGCAAAATTGCTGAAAGAAAGAGGCGAGGAGCTAAGGAAAGTCAGTCGACGAGCTGGCAGAAGGGAGACCCTTTATTGGCAGAGAGGTTGACAACTGCAGAGCTCGTTGGCCGAAACAAATTCTCTGCAGCGGTGGTTCCGGCCGTGTCCGCAGTAAGCCTGCAGTTTTCGAGTGCTCGCGACTCGAGGGGTTAACGTCGCCGAAGGTAGCCGAGGCTGGTAAATCACGGACCTTCCGAGAAGCTGCTCGTCCTCGCGTATCAGCCGATGATCAATAGAAGGCGACGGGGGGATGTGGGTGGCTGGCGAAACCGCCGAGTATAACGCCGGCAAATCCGTCGTAAAAATCGAGGGGCAGCGAGAAATATTTTGCTCGGGGAAGATGGTGGGAACGATTTTCCAAAGAATCTTCGTGCGGCCGAGAGGCGCGGGAGATGAGAGAGAAAAATAGATAGAGAGAGAGGAACGGCGCGTGCGAAGGAGAGGGTTGATTCTCGAGAGGGTGGAATGGAATGTTAGGGGTCCATGTGACGCGCAATTTCGGTGTCGGCGGGTCCAGGTGGACAGGGGGTTGGTTGGTGGTGGAGTGGCGCTCGCCGGGGTGGATCAGTAGGTACGACCCTGGGCGTTGGGACGTTGCCCCCACCGCCGGTGATGCCGGGCGTCTGTCGCCATGGCAACAGCCGCGTTGCACCCATCGCGCGGTGACGCACACACTGCCAAGAGGAAGCGAGGGAGCGAGGAAGCAAGCGAGGGAACGAGGAAGCGAGCGAGCCAGCGGGCAAACGAGCAAGGGAGCGAACAAGTCAGAGCCCGAGCCAGGCCGAGGCGACCCGAAGAGGCCAGCCGTCGAGTCGCGTCGAGTCGCGTCGCGTCGCGTCGCGCGTCGAGTCGCCGCGTGCACATGGACATGCACAAGACCCGTGTCGACTCGAGCCGAGCGGAGCCGAGAGGAGCCGGTACACGCCGTCGAAGGAATCAGGTGTTCCGTGCACACAACACACCACCCGGTAGCATCGCCCTCGCGCGACAACCCCGTACCGTCTCGAGCCCTCGTACAGCCCCCCCAGCCCCGCGAGAAACAACCCCTTCCCGCTCGATCGCCCGACTCCCATACCAATTAGCGCCGCTAATTCGTTTAATTGACGACAAATTCTGATCGTCTTCGAACGATCGTTTCAACGAGTTCTCTCAACCGGTCTGCGGGACACCTTCTCGATTTAGCCGACGGCGTTGCACTGGAATTTTAACATTTGCAAGGCGAACGATGCCCTTATCGGGTTTACCGTCTTTCTCCTTGACGTTCGTGTTCGTTACCACGCTATCTTGTTCGCTGTTCTTCGACAAAATACGTCGAAAATATGCGCACAGCCGCAAAACGACTGCTGGTCGGTTCGCGCGACGGGCACCGGGGTGGTTTGCGGGAAACTGCTTCACGGCTCAGATTGGTCCCGAAAGAAGGGGCGAGTTCGGTAAAGAGAGGATCGGATTTGTATGTACTCGACCGTGCGAACCACACCCTCGTTTTCACTCGGGCTACGCTAATTTCGGCGTGGAATCTCGCTCGAAACCGTGCCTATAATTCCAAGGGGGATGGATCCAGAACCCGGAAATTCAGAAAATGTGCTACGCAAAATGTTACTGCTTGCGTAAATTCGCTTCAAGGGGTGGGAATTCAACCACGAATACTCGGCTATTTTTTATTTTATTGCCACGATTCGCAAACTGTGCGAGATCGAACAAAAGTCTTCAAACAAAAGTTACTTCTTTGGTCCAAATTTGTCATACGGTATACGAAAAATATCGATTATTTGTTCATAACTTTTTCCAATCGTTTCAACGATTGACAAATCGTATCATACGACCGAATTTCCAGAATTTTTCGAATTTCCGGGTTCGGCATCATGCCGGTTAGTTAAGTTGCCCAGATAAATCGGAAGAGCAGAATCATTTTTGTTGCGACAGCAGCTGTTGCGTGCCAAAAACTCATCGAACTACCAACTGATATTTTCCAACAGCGGACAAGGTTATCTCGTAGGCACGCAGTTGCGAAAACGAATCCGGACGAAAGTCGGACAGCCGCGACTTTCCAAGAGGCTCGGTCACAATAGGAGGATTCCGTGGGGGGTTGCAACGATTGCCGAGGGATCCGGGTGTCGTGTACACATGTTTGTCCTAAAGAATCGATTTTGAAAATCCGAGCACGCTCCGGCAGCTCCTGGCCCGACTAACGAGGGGTTGCGCGCGAAAGGGAGCCGAGCAAGCGAGCAGACGAGCAAGCGAGCAGGCTTAGCAGCAAGCAGGCAGGCAGGCAGACAGGCAAGCAGCGACTTTAACGAGTGCTCGCCGGGTGGAACACCGGCCTCGGAACGCAAGGGGTTGAAGAGAGCATAAACAGAGAGAGTAAAGTCCTGGAATATTATACTTGTTCGCGTATCGCTTGTCCTTCCGGCGGTTATAGAGCGGTGCGTTGAAATTCGTGTTCCGGCGCCGGAAGCATTGCCGGTCGGTGACGGGGTTTCCTGGCGTTTAAGGGGATTTAAATCCGATTATTCGCGGGATCCCGGGGTATAAAGTGACTGTAAAACGGGGATTGGTGTGCAGGGCGGACCCCGCGACGCGACGCGACGCGCCGCGACGTCGAAAATACCAGAAGGAAAGCGTATCGATTGATCCGGTAAGCCGGGGGAGACGCCGGATTTCCTTTGTTTTCGCGGAGGCAAACAGACCCCCGACTAACGCAGACAGAGAACGTGAAAAGAGAGAAAGAGAAAGATAGAGGGATAGAGAGAGAGAGAGAGAGGGAGAGAGCGAGAGATCTGTTTTGGTAGCGGTGTATCGATTATTGACACTCCGCTCGAACTCGCGGACGACAGGGAGAAGCGGTTCTGCTTGGTCTATATATTGTTCTTTCGGTGCTCCGGTGCCCAATCGATAAGCGAACGAGCGAGCAGGCGACGCGAAACACGCGCCGCGGAATCGTCGTCTCCCCCGGCCTCTGATCTTCGGGATCCTTCGGATCTCGCAGGAGGAAGCGCCGGTCCGCGCGACGACGCCGGATTTTTATGTGATTCAGGCTTCCTCCAATTTTATCGGGCGTAGAAGTCGTATCGAGCGTTCTGGGAATCCTACGTCACGAGAGCGGAGGACCTTCGAACCGGCTGGCCCGCCAACAAGGTTGCGGCGTTTAATAAGAATCGGCTCGTTATCCTTCGGCTCGGCCAACTGTCCGCTGCTGCTGCTGCTTCAGCCGCCCGTAAAAAATCATTTGCATAATACAGATATCGAGCGGCAGAATTGCCTGCCTCCCTTCTTTCTTTCTTTCTTTCTTTCTTTCTTTCTTGCGGCGAGCACCAGGAGGTTGCTGCTCGTTACAAGTGGAAACGACGGCCCACGGTCAGACGCGTTTCTATTTTCCATTCGGTGGAATCCGATCGATCTTGTGCTATACGGTCGATGCAACTGCGTTCAATTAACACTATCAATAATCATTCTGGTCCACTTCACACGTCACTCTTTCTTATTCCGCTTTTAGATAGAACCTGAGCGAACTTCTATCCTAGATATTTCCAGATTTGACAATCCGCGATCTTTCACGAGAATCCGCCGAGTTTTTCTGTTCCGCTATTATGTGTGTCTCGATTTAATCTAATCCTTCCGATAAGTTCATTGTTATGGTTAACGTTTACACCAACGACATTAGACTTCTACATTGAACATTTGAATAAATTTAGATATCAGTCGTTTAACGTTATCAGAAGCTAGAATGTTCAGTTCGTGTTCTCGTTTGTATATTGTAATCATATTGATTTCATTTCCATTCGTTTTTATGGTTTACTTTATTGGCGTTACTACTATTGTTATTATTACGATGAAGTTTTGTAAAAAATTTGAAAGGACGTTTGGCTCGTTAATATCAAATAAATAAATAAGTAAATAACAAAATAAATAAGTAAATAACTAAATAAATAGCTAAGTAAATAAATAACTAAGTAGATAAATAACTAAGTAGATAAATGACTAGGTAAATAAATAATTAAGTAGATAAATAACTAAGTAAATAAATAACTAAGCAAATAAATAACTAAGCAAATAAATAACTAAGCAAATAAGTAAATAAATCAGTTAATAAATATTTACCCGTATATCTGCGATTCGTATTATTATTTACATCTACTATATATATATAAATAGTGTACTCCCGTATATGATTAAATTCAAACGCGAATCTTCGGATCAAACATTTCCGGTACGAGCTCTATCGCGGATGTCTCGTTGACAGAAAAATCATTCGAAACGTTCTTCGCCGAAGAACTACGAGTAGAAACGATTAGTCATGAACAAACATATCTTGCGAATAAAGAATGACGACGAAGTCGTTGCAACCAACATCGGCGATCTCGTCGGCGACGAAAGCCGAAGTATCCGGTCGAAACTGACCCAGGCGCCGAACAGCGGGGACACGGCCGTCGAGGGAACAGAAGGCGCAGCAACGTACGATCACAAACGTTCGCGGCAAGAGACGGAGTTTTTCGACGCGGTGGTTTCATAAGAACGTGGATATAATACGGTGGGGGGTCGGAGTGGGAGGCGGAACGAGTTTCGGACTAATCAAGAGAGACTGGTCCGACCGTTTGCTCCGATACTAAGGACAAAGAAACCAG